ACGCCATGGCACTCTACCGAAGGCAATAAAGTGAGACAGAGTCTCTTAAAAAAAAAAAAAAAAAAAAGATAAAAATGTGAACCCATCTAGGGCACTTACCCTGAAAGGAGCTACAGGACTAGAAGTTGGCCTGGGTGAATCAGTGAGTGTGATGGCTCAGTTGCTGCTGGGTACTGCTGCAAACTGACTTATTAGCACTGTACATTTAGGCTACACTAAATATGTAAAATTGTGTTTTCCTTTCTTCAATAATAAATTAACCTTAGTTTTCTGTGACTTTTCAACCTTATATACTATAAATTTTTTTTTTCTTTTTTTGCAGTTTTTGGCCAGGGCTGGGTTTGAACCCACCACCTCTGGTATATGGGGCTAGTGCCCTACTCCTCTGAGCCACAGGGGCCACCCTGAACCATAAAACTTTTTAAACTTTTTGACTCATAATAGTAAGCTTAAAATACACATTGTACGGGCAGTGCCTGTGGTTCAGTGAGTAGAACGCCAACCCCATATACCAAGGGTGGTGGGTTCAAACCTGGCCCCGGCCAAACTGCAACAAAAAAATAGCCATGCATTGTGGGTTCCTGTAATCCCAGCTACTCAGGAGGCTGAGGCAAGAAAATCACGTAAACCCAGGCGTTGGAGGTTGCTGTGAGCTGTGACGTCACAGTGCCCAACCTAGGGCGACAAAATGAGACTGTCTCTAAAAATACAAAAATGTTTCTTCATCTAGATCCTTACTTTATATGCTTTATTTTAAAAATCTTTCTTTTATTTTTTATTTTGTAGACTTTTTGTTAAACATTTAGGTACAAATACAAGCATTAACCTCGCCCTACAGGGTCAGGGCCATCAGTGTCCCTGTCACCACCTCCTCATCTGTTCCCCTGAAGGCCTTTACAGGGTAACACACACAGATGCCCAGACACAGCGCCTTCTCTGGGCACCTCCTGCAGCACCTGCCTGATCCTGCTCTGCACTTGCCTTTTTTCTTTTTATAAGTAGAAGGTGCAAACTCTGAAATAATGATGGCAAGTATGGTATTATAAAGACACTAATGAGTAACATCACCATTTGTCCTCACCATCCACTACTATGTACTGTACTCAGTTGTATGTGCTGGATTTAAACAATGGTAGTACAGAAGGTGTGTTTATAGCCAGGCATTGTAGGGGGCACCTGTAGTCACAGCTACTTGGGAGGCTGAGGCAAGAGAATCACTGTATAGCCCACTGCACTCTACCAAGGGCAACATAGTGAGAATCTATCTCAAAAAAAAGAGCGGCACCTGTGGCTAAGTGAGGAGGGCTGGGCCCCATACACCAAGGGTGGCGGGTTCCAACCCGGCTCCAGCCAAACTGCAACAAAAAATAGCTGGGCATTGTGGTGGACACCTGTAGTCCCAGCTACTCAGTTGGCTCAGGCAAGAGAAGCATCTAAGCCCAAGAGCTGGACGTTGATGTGAGCTGTGATGCCACAGTACTTTACCGAGGACAACAAAGTGAAACTCTGTCTCTAAAAACAAAAACAAAACAAAAAAATTTAGGCCAAATTAGCCATGCGTGATAGCACACACCTATAGTCCCAGCTACACAAGAGGCTAAGGTAGGAAGACCACCTGAGTCCAGGAGTTTGAAGTTGCAGTGAGTTATGATGCCACATGCACTCTGCCTAGGCAACAGAGAAACTATCTCCAAAAAAAAAAAAAAAAGTTTAAGTTAGATGTCAACATTTTAAAATGGGTAAATTAATAAACATTTCTGGATACTCTTGAAAACAGTGACCATCTGATCACACAGAGATAATATTCTAGCAAGGCAACAGTTAGTTGGAGCTGAGAAAGGGCTGTTTAGTTCACTAGAATTCCTACTCAGTTCATTTTGCTTATCTACATTACTCACCTGATTTCTGCAAGTGCACGAGCTGGAGAGATGCTTGACGGAAATCCTCTTTTCCATTTCCACTGCCATTACACTTAGTACTGACTCCTCTTACCTCTTGCCGAAATTACTCAGACAATCCAATTAATTCCTTGTCTCCACCTTATGCTTCAGTTTCTTATCACCTCCCTGCTTAAAATTTTTCCCTAGCTTATTTCTGACTATCCACAATTCGAATGATTTAGCTTTGCATTCCAGGCCCTCCTTATCTGCCCTTCCCTAGAAAGTCTTTTACAGTTTTATATTCCCATTTATCCTTTATTTCAGCCTATTTTAAGGGTACAAAGAATCATCACAATTTTTGAATTTGTTAGGTAAAGTCCCTCTCGTAGTTGTGTCCTGCATCCAAAAGGTGTGCCATACACCCCTACCTTGTGTTCTTAGGTGGGAGAACACCAATCCCCTCCAACTTGAATAGAAATGTATTTTCATTGTTACAAAGGGGTCACAACTGCGACCCCCTGGATACTTTCTTTTTCATTCTTGTTTGTTTTTTTTTCCCTTTTTGGGGGGGGGTTGTTGTTGTTGAGATAAAATCTCAAGCTTTTGCCCTGGGTAGATCCATGGCATCATAGCTCGTTCACAGCAATCTCCAACTCTTGGGCTCAAGAGATTCTCTTGCCTCAGTTTTTCTATTTTTAGTAGAGACAGGGTCTTGCTTTTGCTCAGTCTGATCTCAAACTCATGAGCTCAAGCAATCCACCTACCTCAGCCTCCCAGAGCGCTAGGATTGACGTAAGCCACCGTGCCTGGCCTTCTTTTGACACTTTACTAAGAACGTTTCAACTCTATCCAGGTTAATAAAAGATGTAAAGTCATTATCGTAGGGCTGAACAGTACTGCATGGTATACATATATCACAGCTTCTTAATCCATTCCTAAGTTGATATCGCCTATGTTTGAATGAATTATATCCATGCACTTCCTTTTCTAGCACCAAGAATGTGCTCAAATTGTTTTTAAGGGGAATTCCCCACCCTAGTCTATTCATCTACCCTTCTAGACCCACACACTCCATAGCATTTCCCTCAATTCCCATTCCCACACACAACCTCCCCAGCCTTATCTGCCTACTCTGTACCTTCTTGATTTTCTAATTTATCTATTGTACTTTTTTTTTTTTTTTTGAGATAGTCTCATTTGTCGCCACAGTGGAGTGCCATGCGTTACAGCTCACAGCAACCTCAAACTCTTTGGATCCGAGCAATTGTCTTGCCTCAGCCGCCCAAGTAGCTGGGACTAACCAGGCGCCTGCCACAACACCTGGTTATTTTTAGAGATAAGGTCTCACTCTAGCTCAGGTTGGTCTGAAACCTCTGAGCTCAGGCAATTCACCTGCCTCGGCCTCCCAGGGTGCTAGGATTACAGGCATTACCCACCGCACCCCACCATCTGTTCTACTTTCTATACATTATGTTACAACTTTCAATCATACTAAGGCTATTAGTATGCACATCTTACTAATAAGTCCCCTCAACCAGAAGGAAATCTCCAGGGCAGTGTGTCTTATTCTCTTCCCCCAACCCCCATATGTTGTATTATACACATATACATAATACAAGCACTTAGTAGTTAAAAGTGAATCAATGTATTCCAGTCCATAACTTTGTTCAAACTAGAATTATCTCAGTATTTAAGGCATGCATGGGAACAACATTGCCCTCAAGAGTGAAAAAAACTGGCCGGGTGTGGTGGCTCACATCTGTAATCCCAGCACTTGGGAGGCTGAGGCGGGTACATTGCCTGAACTCAAATTCGAGACCAGAATGAGCCAGAGCAAGACCTCGTCTCTAAAAATAGCAGGGCGTTGTGGTGGGTACCTGCAGTCCCAGTAACTTGGGAGGCTGAGGCAGCCTGTAATTGCTTGAGCCCAAGAGTTTGGTTTGCTGTGAGGTACGACACCACTGTACTCTACCAAGAGCGACAAAGTGAGACTCTGTCTAGAAAAAAAAAAAAAGGTTTCTGGGGCCAGGCACAGTGGCTCACGCCTGTAATCCTAGCACTCTGGGAGGCCGGGGCGGGAGGATTGCTTGACCTCAGGAGCTCGAAACCAGCCTAACGAAGAAGCCCATCTCTACTAAAAATAGGAAAACTAGCCGGGCCTTTTGGAGCATGCCTGTAGTTCCAGCTACTGAGGAGGCTGAGGCCGGAGGAGTTTGAGGTTGCTGTGAGCTTGGCTGACGCTAGAGCACTCTAGCCTCGAGCAAGAGTGTGCTCCCTCTACCCCTAATAAATAAATATATATATACACACACACATATACATGATGGGGTTGTACTGTACCTACCTCTTGGGATTCTGGAGAAGTAATCAATTCATATGATGTGTTTAAGGAGTAATCAATTCATACGGTGTGTTACTCCACAAACATTAGTTAATGTTAGCCCTACCACATGCAGGCCAAACTCCTATGGGAATCGGACCAAAAAGGACATAGGCGGCCAGTCAGGAAAAGTATGACCGTCTTAAGTGAAGCACTTACATCTGGACTTTCCCCAAAGGGCTCTACGCAAGGGATGTCGACCCAAGCCCAGCCGGAGGCGCAGTACCTGAGTCGCCCCCCGCGCTGAGACCCTGAACTCCAGGCTCCGAATGGGCGCCGGGCGGCTGGCGCGGAACCGAGACGACACCGGTCGAGGGTTCAGGAGGCACGGGATCCATGGAGGCGTATCTTGGGTACGGTTTTTAAGGTGTGTGTCGGCAAGAGGTGCTCAGGCAGGGTTAAAGCTGTAAGTGGCCGTCCAGGATCGGCACAAAACCCGGGCCTCAGCTATTGCGTTCCTCACGCGACAAGTGAGCACCGTTATGCCGCAATGCAGTGACTGCACCAGTGCGCTTCCCTAAAGCGCAGGCGCACCTTTTTCGCGCCGAAAGTTCGAGCGTTAACCCTCTACGCCGCCTACGTTGGAACTCGACCCCACAACTCGCCAGGCTCGCAAGAGATCTCTACGTGCGCGTGCGCCCGTCAGAGTCCCGCCCTCAAATCCCGTGGGTCTCTGCGGAGGGGTATTTAGGTGTCTCCCAAAGGCCTTTCGGTCTCATTTTTCGTACTCCGGGTAAGTGTTTGTGTATGTATCGTAACTATTAGCTTTTTGTGGGTTTTCTTTGTTGCCCCATGTGAGCGTAGCACCCCTTTAGACTTAGGCCTGTGTTGTGCCTGTTGAGTGGCCGGGGCGGGAGACAGAGGAGGAGTTGTCCGTGTGCCCCAAAGCAGCTTCGAGGCTTTGTGAAGGACAAAATGGCGATGGCGGGCCGTGGCTCTGGCTATGATGAGGACTTTTTCACAGACCTGTACTGATCTCCATGAGGATAAGTAACTCTGAGGAGACTGGCCCTGCATAGCCGCCTACGAGACCGTAGCTCCAGAAAACACAGCATTTGCAAAATACCCTGTGCTAACCTTATGTCTTGGGCTCTTGTCTACAGGGCCAGGCGCACGTTTGAATAGAAGTAGAGCTCCCCTTGGAGTAAGTGCTTCTAGGTATTTTTTACGTTTCTTTGAGTGTATGGAAGTCGGATGGGATTTGCTACGGTGATGATTTTAAAAACTGAGCTCTCTCTTGCTGATGTGTTAGTGGAGAAAGCGTAAAAATTCTGAGTAGTAGTGTATGTCTTGGGGTCTTTTGGTTTTCAACTTGGAGATGTTAGTGAGGGATGTTTTTTTCCTCAGATACTCAGCTGAAAGGACCTTACTGCTGGTAGAATTGGACGAAATACGCTCCTCAGCAAAACCAATATGGAAGTGATGTTCCAGGTGGATATACGTGGTTTATGCTATCATGGGGTAGGGGATGCTTTCTAGTTAACCACTCCATGATGAACACAAAATGACAAGCATATGACTGAACTTAAAAGTGATGTCAACATACTACTGAGAAGTGGGCCAGTGGTATTCAGGGGGTCTTTAAATAACTTTTTCTTGCAAACAAAAAATGACTCCTTTTTCTATCGCCAGCATTTTATAACCTTTCCTGAGGAATTCAGCTGCCCACCAGGGTGAACACTGGTAATTGGTCAGATTGATGGATGCAAGGTACGTCATCTTGTTCACAATTAGGAGGACAAAATGGTCAGCAGAGTGTTGAAGCTTTGCTCTTTCCATCTTATTCCTCCTGAGGTGACTTTCTGGGAGGAAAGCACAATTCAGCGAAACAGTTGGTTCTTGTAAGAGTGTTCTTCCCTGATTTCACACACATCACTGTCAGATGATTTGAATTGATAAGCTGATGCTCTATGAGGTACATCAGTTAATAGCATGTTAGAGTTCTGATGGCAGTGTCATTAATAAAGAAATCTTGTTACATCCTAATGCTTTCAAATAACCACTTGCACTCTTTTTTCCCCAGATCATCTTAATGACGATATGTTCCTCTATCTTAGAGTAAGTTGTTTCTCTAGATAACCACAACTATATATACATATTTGAGCTCATTATCCAAGCAATGGTTTTATGTTCATGGTATTTGTCATTGAAACCTGATTGAGCTGTAAAGCTTTCTGGTTCCTCTTGTTGCCTAGAGTAATTTCTCTTTTTTTTTTTTTTTTTTTTTTTT